CTGAATTTAGTTCAAATGTAACATAATAGAATAAAGTCTAAGCTGCACGTTTGTCACCCTAATGTACCCCTGTGATTTATCAAGTTGCAACCTCTTCTGTTGTTTACACATATTGTAAACTAACAACAATTTACAATACCAATATATGAAAGTCCTCTGTCACCTGTCATTGGCTTTGTTTTTAATCCAATTCCCATTTGTCAACAGTGCTTTAAAACTTTGGCACACATGAACAGCCACCCAGATAAATATTCTGTCAGCTGTGTAAACAAAAAGATTTTTAGCCTGTCTCCCAGTTTGTAACTCTTAGACTTATCCAGGTACTCATAAATGACAAATATATGTTGTTGTAGTTCAATTTCTACATAAACAAAACACGTTTTATTATGAGTTACATGTGTTTTTAATAATGCTACTTTTGTTTCCTTGATATTTTCATTAACAATAACATATTTATATATTTAAGATGAGATAATCCTTTATTAGTCTGGCAGCAGGAAAATTTACCAGTATTTGTGTCGTACAAAACAACCAATGACAAACAAAAATCTTTTTTTAAATGTGTTTTATTATGTATCAGACATTTGTTTAATCCAGATAGTTGGAATAGTTATTTTTCAAAGGAGTTTTTGGACAAATGGCATCTTAACTCTGTGACTCAAATCTAATGTTACCACATAAGAGGCACAAACTGGAGCTCAGCAGGCTGTTTATTGGTTAGACCAGTGTTTATTTGTACATCTTGCATGACGAGAGCTTTATTAATCATAACTCCACTTGTGTTGTTAGTTTACAGCGTTGAAAGTGCTGCTTGATTTATTATTTGACCCCTGATACATTTACTTGTCTTTGTCTTGTTGCAGCTGTGGAGGGCTGGATCCTGTTTGTGACCGGTGTACATGAAGAGGCCACAGAGGAAGACATCCATGACAAGTTTTCAGAGTTTGGAGAAATTAAGAACCTGCATCTCAACCTTGACCGCAGAACAGGCTACCTCAAGGTGAGACAGATAACCACGCATCATTGGCATTGAGTTTTGAGGTGTCCTTCATTTCGTGGAAGATGTTTACAGTCAGTCGATGCAAACCTGTTACTGTTTATCTTCTATTTTTCCTTGATTTGCTCTAATAGATTACTAATGTTATTCATACTCATTCAAAACACACCTCACCTTGTTTCCAAACAATCCAATAGATGGTCAACTTATGTTAACCTTTATGTGCTGTTCTTCTGCTGAATAAATGTCAGAAAGCATTCGATGGGATACAAAATGGCTCTAATATAAAATAATCAGCTTTCTTGTGGAGCTGAACAAAGTATTCTGACGTGCAGCGTGGTAGTTGGCCTGCTAAAGATGTGCTGTAATCAAGGCAAATAAGCCCATCATTGTACACTGCACACTCCATTTGTTGACTTGATTGAATATGAGCTTCATTTAAAACAAATTGCATTTTCCCGACTAATTCTGACAACAATTGAGTCAGTCTGATGGATAATATGATTTAACATGGTTTAATTATATTTTGGTTGCTGGTTTCGCGCACACCCTCTTCCTGTGAGGTGAAGAGAGGGCTGATTGAATTAGCCTGTCATGAGTAGGAAAATCTCTCTGTCATTGCATCTAGATTTAAAATGAGTTAAGAAGGAAGATGTAATTTTTTCCTAAATTTTCTTTAAAAAAAAAAAAAAGATGGTTTAAAGCACATTAAGAATAAGTGTTACTCCCTGGAAGGTTTTCAAATACAATGAATTTGCTTTGGTGTATTGGTGAATATTATAAACATAGTAAGAAAAAATGAAATGAAAAATAAAAAGAAGTATTGTAAGAATCAGGAGACATGAATATAGGATAGATTAAGTTATAATAAGAATATGACATGAATGTTTACACAACACCTGTCAGTAAGTGTCAGTAATTCAATGATTGAACATTTATGGTGAAACCACAAACTAGTGCACAAGTTCAAAGCTAAAACAGAAAACCATCTGATGAGCCAAATGTCTTTTTTTAATCTTTAGCTAAAATTACAGCAGGAGAAGGTCCAATCATAACGCAGACTCGACTAGAAAATTAAACAGTTGCAGTAGTTTATCTGAATCACACTGATTGTCGTTTACATGATGAATTGGAGAGAAAGTCAAGCTGCATATATCCTCTTAAATTATCTTAATTATAAAAAAATCACAGTACAATAACATGTTTTGTTTTTATCCTGCCTCGCTGATGTACAGAGTCGTTTGTTGTGTGTTCAAAAGCCAAATTCACTTAATGGCGAGAGACTTTTTTGATCCCGTTTCAACTGTGACATGAGTTAAACACACGTTTGTCAATATAAAAGATAATTTTGCAAGTCACAAAAGTTGCAGTTTGTTGCAGGTTTATCATACCATTTAGTTTAGTGTGAAACCGCTCAGTGAACTACATCTCTTTTCTTGCCACGATATACGTTACCAGCCACAGCTAGCTATGCAACTTAGATACATTTCAAATGTAATGTTACGTTACCTGGTGTGTTTCCTGAGGTTTCATTTCTAAACATTGCATACGCACAAAACAAGGCCTGAAAGAGGCGTACTACACTTCCCACGCAAAGGTTGTGATCCGTAAAAACAGACTTGGGGGGAGAAACTTTGAGTCATGCTTACGAACATTTTGGAGATGGGGAAATTGGCGATGCAGATGTTAAGGTAGAAGCCTGATTGTAGACGTTGTCAAATATTTTTTGGCACTGTTTTGTAAATAAGAACCCTGGTGTTTTTATCAGCCAGGAAGCAAAAGAACAAGCAAGACATGTTGCTTGTGTGACGATATTGTGTTAGGAAACACACAGGCATCGTAGCTTCAGTGAAAGAAAAAGCTATGGCGTCAATTTCGCTACTTGTGTAGTCTCTCTGATTATGCATTTTCACAGTCTTATACTTGAGCAGTTTTACAACAAACTGCAACTTTCTTGACTTTCTAAATTGTCTTTTAAATTGACAGACATCATATGTGTGATTCGTGGCGCAGTTCAAACAGGATCAAAAAATGTGTGAACTATTGCACATATTTTTTACGAAATAAGGTCCCATGGTGGGCCACAGGGAGGGAAGATACTTCACCTCTCTATACAGCTAAACTTTGTCACTGCTACTTGTTATTTGCTGTTTGTGAACACACAAACGTGGTATTTTAATAGTCTAATTTTAGTTTATGTCAAATGAAAGATATCCGAGGTTTTGTAAATGTGCAGTGTTTAAATGCATCTGCTTTTCCCTTAATGCTGTATGGCACATGCCAGTAGAAACATTGACCCATAGGTGTTTGCTCTCCAGTTTAACAGTATGTGTCAGCTTTCCTCTGAGCCACTAGGTGGCAGCATTGCCTTGAATATAAAGTGCGAACAAAGTGTCTTTGCCCTGTAACTGGCTCTCCATAGTCATCTTAGTCCAGCACAGAGAATGTTCCTTGTCTTTACAGGCTGTTTAAAGATTAAGACATTTTAGCAACAGTCTTATTCATGTTATTGGTCATCTTTTCAAAGCTTCAGAGACATAAAATTGATAGTGTTGGTTTAGTTTTTGTGCGAGGTTGAAAATGTGTTCTTTCTAGCTCTGCTGTGTTAGCCTAAAGAATATTTGTAGATCATTGAGTGAGCAGTATCCTTGTTTTCTGTACTGTGTTGTAAATTTAAATTGTGAAAAGCCACCAAATTCCAAAGCAGTGACACGCTCTCCTGATGACTGTTCCTAGGGATATGCACTGGTGGAGTATGAGACATACAAAGAGGCCCAGGCAGCCATGGAAGGGCTCAATGGTCAGGACATGATGGGTCAGCCTATCAGTGTTGACTGGGGATTTGTCAGAGGGCCTCCCAAGAACAAGAGGAGGTGAGGGTGGTGTGTGTGTGGGAGCAGTAACTTCCCAGTAAGGGGAGTGTACTCAACAGTTTATATGTTTGTCAGTCTTCATGTTCAGAGAATATTGTACATTTTAAACATGTTGTTATTATTATATCTATTGCTGCTCTGTTACCCAGCCCTTAGTGTTTGCAATGTAGGCTAGATATTTAATATATCTGTACATAAGTGGTGTGTGTGTGATCTAAATTATTTGGGTTTTTAAAATAATAGAACGTCCAATTAATATGATTTTCCTCAGTAACTGAACTGGATTTTTCTCACAGGACTGGTGGACGAAGACGCAGCAGAAGTCCAGACAGGAGGCGGCGTTGAGTTAGGCAGTGGAGGTGTCTTGTCACTTTGACAGGCGGTTATGGCCCTTCTCCTCTTCTCATGAGAAACGTTTTTGTACAATATTTTTGAGACAGTTGTTTGGTATCTAGTTGTGCAATTTCAAATATTGTAATGGGGAATTTCTCTTTTTAAAGAGACAAATTAACAAAATATTTGGGCCTAACAGCAGCATTTTAATTTGTCTGTAAATTGCTTATGCTGCTTCACAGTGCAACAGACGGACATCCATTCAGCTGTCAGTGAAACTATGATTTTACATTCAACACCTTAGAGGTAGTGTGTGTTCATGATTCCCTCAAAATGTTGTTTCAGTTTTCTCAATGTTAGGTGCATTTTTTGCTGTGTTTTGTTTTATATTGCTTGGGAAAAATTAAACTTTTTAAAAGGTACATCTGTGCCCTGCTGTGTGATTTATTTAGCCCTGCCAATGACGTAGAGTTTACATCATCCCGGATGACCTCACCCAGGCAGTGGTGCCGCCCCAGCTATTTTATCAACTCCAAAGCACCTGTCACTCTGGACTCGGGGTGCCACACTCATAGGCTACTCGGACAAAACCCGTTGCCCTTTATTTTTCTGCAGCCAATTGGCAGGCGAATGATTTGCACTCTGTCGTCCTCATTTGGTGTTTACTCTATTGGGGAACATCAGTCAAAGACCCCAAGAGTCGCCATTGGTTCTTATACATGTCAGTGAAATAGCCTCTCCTCTCTGATTGGCTGATCTCAGCGGGGGGCGGGCTCAACTCTTCGGTTGACGTTGTTGTTGTAAGTGGTGGAGAAATTACTTTGTCGCTGGTGGTCCGGTTTGGGATTTTACGCGTAGTTCCACCAGTGAAGATGCTAAAAAGTTAGGAGGTGGTGTTCTTGGAAACGTATATGCTGCTCTCAAGTCGGTACTTGCTGGAAAACTACACGGGACGATGAAAAAAACATCCGCGAGGCCGTTAAAGGTAAGCAGTAAAGGGATACTCCAGCTACTAGCGTTAGCTAACGTTAGCTGCTGATTAGCCAGGCTTGAAGTAGCCACTTGCTAGCCAAACGTTACGGTTCGGTCTACTTACTGAAAAATACTAAACGCTTAAATGCAATAGGAATTCATGCACACGTATAGCAGCTTCCAAAAGATGCAATTAAATAGTCTGTAACGAGAAAATAAAGTTATTAGGTTGACTGTGAACGGTGCATAAACCCCATGCGTTTGAACGCCTCAAATGCGTTTATGTAAGCATGTGTATTGTTCGTTGATATGTTGTTTCAAAGAATAGTCGTAGCCATAATAGCTGGCTGAGAGTCAACGTTTAGGACAAGCCATCAGCAGCAGCATAACTATGCATGTATCAAGCAGGTTGGCGAGCTGAACTGGGTGCAGAACATTATATTAGCTTTAGGAGCTGTCACATAATAGCTGTGCAGGGTAAACACTGCATTGTAAAGTTGTGCTGAATGAGAAATCAGATCTATATTTAAGCTTTTATCAGTTATGTTTCTGCCTTTATAGTTATATGGTATGAGCTAGCTTTGTAATAGCTGGCAGTCACGATTCAGATTATCCGAGCCCGGTTTTTATTTAAGGTGCATGTGTGATGTAACATTTACTCAAAGCACCTGCTTGGAGAGAAATCTTTTGAGTTCACGGGTTGTATTTCCTAACTTCTAATTAAAATAACCGGTTACATGACGCTAACGTTGACGGATCGAGTGAGTCAAGTCAGCAACGCGACATCATTTGTTCCCAGGCGTTGGTGCCAGAGCTGGCTGGTCACTCGGTTCACTGTTCCCTGTGCTGGTTTTGAAACTAGGACTTGGGTTATTTGCTGTCATTTCCCACATCGACACGATTAGAGAGTGTTGCGTTACACTTTGCCTTGAATTATTCAGGTCTTGTATTTGTGGGCTCTTTTGTTTGCTGGGACAGACAGTCAACATGAAAAGTAGGACAGGGGGACCAGCTCCTCACTGCACTTGTCCCACATGGACTGTGTATGTTTAAAAAGCCATATCCTGTTGGAAACACGCACAGCAGCAAGTGGGAACCTCCACTTTTGAGGTTGATGGGATCTAACGAAGATAGGTGTTGTGAAGTGGGGAAGATGAAGTGCATCCAGCCCTCCCACCTGTACTCATTCCTCCAGTGGCAGTGCAGGGTGATGTTTGAAATGCAGCACACACAAACCACTGCCTTGCAAAGAAGACTGTTGATCAGTAGCACTGTGGAAAGTTGAATGAACTACCAGCTTAATGCTCCTAAATATGGCTGGTGGGTTTGCCTGCTCCTCCAGTCACCATGGCAGGTAATCAGGCATGATCGTATAGTTACAGTTCTGGGATCTCCATGTACTGTGAGATTTTCGTACCCCAATACTCCATGTCTGAGAAGGTGTGTGAGGCGGCGGTGTCAGGCTTCATTATGCAAGTTCTCAACACTTAAAGGAACATATTGATGCATACAGCAGCTCAGGGAACACCTCAGGCAAGTATTTTAAGCAGGGTGTAGCATCCGTCCCTGTGCAATTCAGACTCCAAACTAGCGGGGCGTAAAAAGAAAAATATGGTGACTATATTTAAATATTTACCAGTCAATACAGCAGGAACACTGTGTAAATAATTACATGATTAGAGCTGGTTTATGAATGCTTGAATGGCCCTATAAGTCAGTGCACAAAACAGCCAGTAGATAAATCCATTCACAACCTGCTCCCACAGGCACAGAGCATGGCAGAATATTTTCAAACCCTTTGTTACACTTAGTTAAAACCATTTGAATCTGTTGATCGAAATCAAAATGCGTGGCTTGGGATTTGCAACTTATCATACAGAGATCTCCAGCAGCATTCAAATGCGCTGCGGTAAGCATTTCACAGTAGCCTTGGTTGAAAGTGATATGGAAGAGACGGGTGATGAGAATGGTAAAATGTTTCCACTGTTATCTTAAAGGAATGCTTCACCCGCTAAATTAGCATTTGTAAATTAATTCGTCATGCTGTGTTACCTTGAATTCTTGAAGAAAACTTTTTTCCCATGCATGCCTCCACAGAAAAAGACAAACATATGAATGTACTGATTGACTGGGGATCACGTTTAGCAACAGTGAACAAACTCACACTCCACTTGTGCTGTATTATCCAGGTCTCATTTATCCAGTCGTATGCTCACATGCATTTTCGCAAAACAAATTTTAGTATTGGAGGCTTCGAAGAGAGAATAGATAAGTTTCTCTTTCAGTTCAGATCCAAAAAGTAAGATTGCATGTGTTTGGAAAGAACTGAGCATATGATTGGATAAATGGGATTTGGATTATAATGCATACTGCTGCAACAATTCATGAACTAGCTGTCAACTATTAAATTAATTGACAGCTAGTTTAACAGTCGGTTTATTAGTTTGAAGAGTTTTTAAGAAACAAAAAGTCAAAAATTCTCTGATTCGAGCTTCTTAAATGTGTACATCTTCTGGTTTCTTTACTCCCCTGCCACGGTAAACTGGATATGTTGCGCTTTGAAAAACAGTGGCAGACATTTTCACCATTTTCATACACTTTATAAACCAAACAATCAATCGATTTATCAAGAAGGTAATCAACAGATTGATTGACAATGAAAATACTAGTCGTTGCAGCCCTTATACACCTCGAATTGTGAGAGAGTTTGTTAACAAATGATTTGATACAGTTTTGCTGTTGTTAAACACGTTCCCCAATCAGTCAGTAAATCAATATATGTTCACTGTTTTCTATCGAGGCATACGAGAAACACAGAGTTTTCTTCAAGGTAACATGGCACGACGAAATGATACACAAATGGTCATTTTGTGGGTGACGTATTCCTTTAAATGATCAGTAATGTTTAGGCACTTGTAATGCCGAGGCTTGTCATCTTGAAGTTGCAAAATAACCAGACCTGGTGGCAGTGGAGATTATTGGCACACTGTTTTGATGTGACACATAGCAAAGTTATATGATTACACAATAGAGGGTAGAGCAGCAGTGAACCAATTTGAGTCTCACTTTATAGTCTCACAGAACAGGCAGTTGGTTTAACTTGGGAAAAAGGTCTCGTCTGGAGGTTTGTGTTACTATCTTAACTATCTCTCATATCTTTAACATGGCTCTTACAATCTGTTTATGTGCTTGGCGGCTGTGGCTGTTATGACCGCATTGGTGTATATAGTGTTTCACAGGGTAACCATGCTGCTTCAGCAGTGCAGAGGGCATGAAAATTTAAATTCGTCTCTCGCTGGGCTCTCCCAAACAGCTGCTAAGTTAGTGTGTGTGTGTGTGTCCAGGATCCAGTGTCAGTTTCAGAGCCAGGCCCATTTGGCCGTGGAGGTGTTCCCATAGGATTTCTCAAACACGGTCAGATTAATAAGTAAGTAGATGAGTGCTTCTTCGGGTTAGTAGGACAAACGCATGACTTTTGTGTCAAGTGTACATGTTCCACTCAGTTTTGCAGCAGTCCAGAACAGGCAACAGATCCACGTTCCTGCTTCTTTTAAGACACTTTGCTGCTTTTATTATTGTCAGAATGAAAATATAATGCGTCATAAAACTGGCATCCATACAGCCGTGCATCTGCGCTCTTATCTCCAAGCGGCACTGTTCAGAAAGACGGGAGCAGATGTGATACGAAAGGGAAAACTACCTTCGTCCCCACAGTGGCACAGTGAGACGGGGATCAATAGGTGGCTTGTCTCCACGAGGCCTCTGCGTCCAGACAGCAACTCATAAAACTCTTTGGAGCCCCACCCTCCCCTGGCTGCCAGTCTTGTGACACAGCACCCAGCCAGTGCCCAGGGCTGTTTGTGTCAGGGTGGAGAGACCTAGACCTGAGGCGTCTACCTGGGGTGCCAGCAGCTGCTTGACTGTGAACATGTTGTAGATAGTAGGCCTACGATGAAGTGGATTATATCAAGATAGTTGACACAGTTGTTATCACAGTAGAAGTGCCTGTATAGTATAGGAAGACAGATAAATCCTTATGGTACCAGCTGAGCAGCCATAATCCCATACAGTATGAGATGGCACTCCCACAAGAGACGCTATGGTAATGAGAGCTTGCTGTATCAGTTACTGTACGCTTCCCTCTACATGCAGAGCAGGGTGGGGAACTGATCATTACACTTGCCACCTGTCAAAACCTCACTGTTTTATCCGCTCTGTCAGAATCTGTGGCACATCTTGTCACACAACTGTTACATATATAATTGCCTAATTACAAAAAGGACTTACATTTCAAAGTGAATAAATTACCATAGCAAATATGGCAGCAGAGGTTAATCATTTTGGGTTTTATTCCAGCGAGCGATATTTTTCATCGTCTGTAGTGTCTGTCACATTGCTGCTTGTGCCTTTTATTGCCTTTTTCTCAATTCTGTCTGTCAGCTTTGCTGTATATTATATCACACGTGAAGATTTCCTCCCTTATGTTGAAATAATTTAGCTGCACCTGCAGTATAAGGTGGGTGATTTGCCTTAAAATAATATCATGATATTTCAGGGTAGTTGTGAGGTAATAATGTTTTTAATGTCTTTTTGGTTGTTTTGGACTTAGAATAAGCTGTTGTACACCTTTCCCATAATTCCTTGCTCTATTTGTATTCAAATCTGTGAAATAAATTTGTTGTATTGCCTCTCCTTCTTCCATTGCTCATGTTACTATGGTTCAGGGTGTCTGCAGATCCTTGAAAAGTCTTAAAATGTCTTGAAAACATCATTGAATTGTCTTAAATTTGAATTTGTGATGTCGTAATTGCCACAAACATTTTATGTTAATTAATTGATCTATCTTTTAATGTCTTTTTGTCAAAATTATTCGAGCTCTTTTGTGTGAAAATCCACATTTCTGATGTTACCAGTCTTTAATTCTACCACTTAACCTCATGCTGTTGTTTTACTTTATACTAGCTTATCTGTTGGCAAAATCTAACCTAACACACTCTTATAATTAATTCCTAC